CATTTGTAATTTTCTTAATCTGTGACCCGTTGACCCGACGGGTCGGGTCGGGTCAACTGTTTAAAAGTTCGAGTCGGGTCGGGTTGAACCACTGACCCGACCCGACCCGACTCGTTCGGAGCTCCATGGTGGTCAGAATAAAAATAATGTAACAATTTGGTTCTATTTATATTTGGTAATTTGTGATTATTACAATAGCATTGAATTGAATTTCATGGTTCCAGGACATACCAAATTCAAGTGTGATGGTAGTTTTGGACTGATTAAAAAACTCTATAGAAAAACAAGAGTAGATTATCTGGACCATGTGGTTGATATGGTGAAAAGAATTAGTCAGCAGGATTGAATAAAGCTCAATGTTATGGAGGTGTAAAAGGTTTTCAATACTTGGATATTAAAGCTATTTTAGGAATTTATTGTAAGAAATACAGAAATATCAACATTTTCTTTTTGAAGCATCTAATATCAGTACAGTGAAAGTCCAAGAAGTTGCTAATAAACTTTCTACTGAATTCTATTTATTGAAACTAAGAAAACTGATATTTTTGAAGAAATTAAATCTTTATCTATTTTAGTGTTAACGCCTTATAAAAATTTAGTCAGAAAATGCATGGTTTTTCCATGCATTTTCCGCATATTTCGTATGGAATATGTACGGAAAAGCACTCTTTTCATGTATAATTCCGTGCATATTCCATATAAAATGCACGGAAAATGTATGGAAAAACCATGCATTTTCTGAAAAAAAATTTTATAGGGTAGAAAATAAACATACGGGATGTATAAGAATTTCCTTATTATTATTATTATTATTATTATTATTATTATATTTTAATTTGATACGGAATGGACATATTTAATCTAATACTAAGTTTTGAAATTTATCAATGTAATAGTAATGCAATTTATGGATGTATACGGAAAATATACGGAATTAGGAAAATAATAATAAAACGTTCTGATTCCGCATTATAAGGTACGGAATAGGTGCGGAACTTGCAACATACTGAAAAGGTACTAGTACTTTTTGATATAAGGTACGGAATAAGTACGGAATTTGTAACTACTAGTAATACCAATGTTCACCTTTGGTTTTGTTGCAGCCGCCCCATATATTTGAACAAAACGAATAAAACGAATAAAAATTTGTATAACTATTATGAATTAGAAACTCTAGCTCAACTCAATATTAAAAAGATTTTTTGTATTTTGCCACAAATATCTGAGCAAACATTATGAAATTTTATACGGGGTTTAACTGTACGCATATATTTTCAGAACCTAAAACAATATTTTTTATTGGAAGGACAAATATTGTTAAAGTTCAAGTATTTTATACAATCTATTATTTTTTGGTTGCAAAAAAACGTGATTTTATCAAATTCGAGCTAGTGCTTTTTATGTTCGAGCCAAGATTTGTAGATTGGTCATTAATTTACCTATTCAACGTAAAAAAACAAATGAAAGAATCACATTTATATTATCATGTATTATCTAAATATCATAAAAAAAAATATATATATTAATATATTAGGAGAGCATGTGACAGATAATAATAATGTGATTAAAAGATATTCATAATGAATCATGAATATTACGTCTGAATCCAAAAATGTTAAACCCTTTATTAATAATCAAATTATTAGATTCTTATCATTGTGATGTAACAATAAAAACGCAAT